TTGTTTGATTATGTTAATTATAGTATTTCCTTAGAACATTTTTTAGAATCATATGTGTATGTATTGCTTTTTTGATACAAACAAGATTTTCTTTAGATAATCAAATAAAGGTCCCAGCAGTTAGCAGGAAGCCGGACATGCACCTTCGAACAAACGAGTCAAGAGTCAAGAGACGATGATACGTACAGCGGGTTCTGCAGTGTCGGCAGGTTCTGGGAGCACGAGCCGCTTGACGACGGTTCTCTCCCTCCTCATTTAATTGTGTTCAGGAAAGACTAATATGAAAAAAAAACTGGTACATAGACATGGTAATAATTGACGTTGTACATGCTCTTAGATAATAGTTATCTTCTATTTGTCCATAAAAAATTTTCTTTATCCGTGCGATCCTATGCTGGAGTAGCTCGCTGCCTCGCTCCTCATGAGTCAGCTAGCACGAGCACCAGCGCCTAAGTGTTCTCCTGCTCCGGTGGTCGCCTCTCAAGATGTGAAAGTATCGCTGGTGGACACCCGTTCTCCACTAAAGGCTGCCCAACGGACGATGGACTCACTTCCGTTGTCGCCTGTGCACGAGCAGTCAGAAGTCACACCACCAGGCGGGACAGCCCGACGTCATGGATGCCAAGGTGTGCCCAGAAAGCACCATCCCCCAGGCGCATATGGGGCACTCCTCTGCGGCCCATGAGCCCAGCGCTGGCCAACGTCGGGGCAACCACCCTGAGAGACGCAACTGTCGTGGCTGCGATGGACGTCGTCAACCGCACTCCATCACCTCAGACGACATCGGCCGACATACTTCTCTAGTGCTTCATCGAGCGAATCACAATGAGGAAGTCGTCGCCACTCCTGGAGCTGTCTGGAGATGATACAGCCCACAACAGACGTGCACCGCCCATGCTCCCCACACGAAGCAAGCGAATAGCGGTGCAGAGCATCTCATATCTCGAAATCTAAACTAGGTGAGTATCTTGTCATGAAGCGCCTAGGACAAACCAGCGGGATGCTGTCTCTGTTGATGCCAGTCAAGAAGGCGTACGAAGAAATTTTCAATAGCGACCCCACTCATATGTAGGCGCTGCGTGAGTTATTCCCAATGGACGGCGAGGTGGGCGCACGCAAGCAGCACCGCCGTCGCTCGGCAGCCCAGGCATATGCCTCCTAGCCGACGCCGCAATTTGGGTTGATCACTATCTAATGTAACAACATAGTTTATAGTACACTATGGAGGGTACAAGGCTCCAAGCGTACATGTACAGCTTTATTGACCCCTAGGGCGTTGTTAAGGCGTGTTGTATTTAACATTTTCTCTACCTTAATACAACGATGCACAATTATTTTGCGTGATCAAGATTTTTTTCTTTATTGTTATATGGTACCATTTCTTACACTATAGGTGGCGCCAGTGGGTATTCTATGTATTCCCTAGAATACCATTATTTTGGTTAAAGAAATAAATATGTATGCTAGGATATTGTCTTGTATTGTGAAAGAAAGCTACAGAAACAAAGGAATTGAAACAAACTTCGGCAGCCACAACAAATCCTTCCTTGCTATGGATTTATATGGTCCTATATATTATTAAATATTTTTATTGCACAATTTTGTTTATATGGAACACCCTGATGCATCATCGTGACTCCATTAACCTATCCCCCTCACATACACTTGTTATCTAGTTCCACCACTGTCTAGCTCTCGTGCTTAGCTTGTTTCTTGCATGAGAACCAAAGTTTCCCCCTCTCTTCTTCCGTCCATATTAGCAGAAATGCTGACTAACTTAGCTATAAAACCATGATTATACTTGTTGTAAATAGTTATTATACAGTTCTGACTTTTGAGGGAGAACTTTCAACTGTAACATATCTAGATATGTCATATGTGTTGAAAGCTTACAATTTGTCTTCACTTGTAACGTGGGCGAGGTTGTCTTGCTTGCACGGCGGGCGGCGAGCACAAGGCATGAGGGTGTAGTGACGCGATTGCAGGTGCTTACAATGTGCTCGACGAAATGACTGAGCATAGCTCTATTTTTTTTTTGTAGGTACGTGAGCATCTCCAGCAATGCCCCCTATTCTTAATTTGGGTAGTGGAGGCAAAAAACTTAACTCCAGCAGACCCACTACTAGGCCCCCTATTTTTGTCGGCCCCCTACTTTTGTCCCTTGACCCTCTACTTCTGTTGGCCCCTACTTTACTCCTATTTTTTTCCGATTTCTTCTCCGCTCAACGTCCACCCGCGCGACTCGCTCGAGTCGCAACCTCCATCGAGTGCGCCGCCGCCGGTAGCACCTCCGCCCCGGCCAGTCCCATCCGCCCTGTACTTCTCCGTCCCCGCCGGCGCGGCAGGCCGTCCACGGTGTGGCAGGCCCTCCCGAGCGGCGGCCCTGCGGCTTCTCCTCCCTGGCGTGGCCATGCCTGCTGACCTGCCCCAGAGCGGCGCCCATGGCCAGCACGGCAGCCCGACGCGTCCACCCCTCCCCGCGCGCGGCAGGCCCTCCCCCACGCGACCTCCCCGGCACGGCTGTCCTTTCCTGTGGCGACGCCCCTCCCTGGCTCTGCTCCATGGAAGAATAACCTGACAGAGGATGATATATAGGTCCCACATGTCATTCTCACCTACCATGGATTTGGGTAGTCTGTTTTAGATAGTGTTGTTGGAGAAAACAATAAAATTTGGGTAGTATAAAAATCGGTAGCTACCTAAACAGAGAAGTAAGGGGTCTATTTTAGATAGTATTGCTGAAGATGCTCTTATGAAACTGCATTGCCAGTCTTTCCATTTCTGTATAGCTACTATGATTTCTAGGCTTATATTTATTTGGCCCCTCTTGGTCTGTTTCTTGATCCGCCGCTGATGGTTGCTTCCGTTTCTCTTGGGACTATGGATTTGAAGGGATTTTTTTTTATTTTCTTGAGTTACTTAATTATTTCACTAATTCATAAAATTAATCTAAATAAATCAACGACTCAGATATATTTGGGTTATTCTATATAATATATAATCTATATCTAATAATAAAAAGACAAAATTTCTACCACTTTAGATTTTCGTCCAACCTAATCATCATGTTCGTGTTGTGTTCGCGTTTTTTTTTCCGTTTCCTTCTCTGTTTCTACTATCGCTGCTTTTTTTTTTCTTCTACCGCTGCTAGGGTGGGTTCAGTACGTGGGGGTCTCGGTGGAAGTGGTGCCCCCGCCCCCCACGGTGGTTTCGCGTGTGTTTTTTGTTGTGTTGTCCTTTCCGTGTTTTTATTTTTTGTTTTTAATTTTGTGATGAAGTAACTTTGGTTTTTCCTATAACAATAGATAAATAATAAATTCAGTGTTAGAGTCTTTGAAACTTTGATCCTTACTTAATAAATAAATATTTCAATTACTAAGTTGTTAGTTTTAAATAGAAAAAAATATTATTACAATATGAATTAGCCGATGGCTTAACTAATTATTAAACCGTAAACTAATCTTAAGCAATTTGTCATCCAATCTAATCAAAACAAATGTTTCTCCAAGTTGTCTGCACATATCAATGCAAATATGTAAGTTGTTGTCCGTGAGTTCATCGTCCCAGTCGTCGCTCGCGCGTTCCGTGAGTTCGCTGCCGCGGCCACCCGGTCGTCCGCGAGTTCACCGTCCCCATCGCTCGCGCGCTCCGCGAGTTCACCTCTGCAGCCATCCGGTTGTCCGCGAGTTCGCCGTCCTGGTCGCTCGCACACTCCGCGAGTTCGCCACCGCAGCCGCCCTCTCCCTCCCACAGTCGCCAAGCCATTGCTTCGGACACCGGCGAATGCTGCTGATGTGCGACCATGGTGTTGGAGGCGGGGACAGGCGGCCATCACTGAATCTTGAAGACTTCGAAGCATTTTCATACAAATAGTTGAAATGAATTTTACGAAAAAAAAATAGGTGGATTATGGGAGTGTGTGACTTGAATTATTGATTTGGCCATGATGACGGAGAATTGGATCTGCCACGTTAGAATTCACGACCAAAGGTGTGTCCGCATCCAATCAACATGTAAGTCCCCTATCTAGGAAGGATAGGCTGGTTCACTCGAGGAGAATATTTTCTATGATCGTACCCCAATCACGACCGCTCGGATCTTGAAGATATGATGTCGCCGGATCTCTCGACGAGGGGAGTGTTCGGCTACCATTATAAGCCGGCTTATAAAACATGGTACAATATTTTTCTCTCCCAACAAATCAGCCGTACAAATCAGCATAAGCGGCTTTACGAATAGCCGAACAGAGCCGCGGTGTACTGTGCTGGCATGTTACGCGAGAGGAGGGATGGCTGAGGAGGGAGGAGGGGTGTGATGTTTCTGGTCTAGGCGTCGGTTGGATTCAGGGGATGCCTCGGCGGCGGATGCAAGCGGCGCCAACACGTGAAGGGAAGAGAGAGAAAGGATTGGGAGGCAGAGAGAAAGGGATCCAAGGGTAGTTGATATGGTGTGTGTTTTAATTTTAATGTGGGACCGACTTATAGATTACAGGATGGCTTAACATTGTCCGATATTGAAACAACTATATTGTCCGGACATATGGGTCCTATCTATGAAAACAAGAGTCTGGATCAACGTTGCTACTAATAATCAAATCAGCAACCAGGTTATGTTTGAAAAAATAGCTACCCAAAAATCAAATGAATCAATCGAATCAAACACTCAAAACTAAGGCATATTATCAGCAAAGACTAGGAGAGAAAGGATCCAAGAAAAGATATAAAGAACTCTACGAAGCTACGCAAGACAAGAACTAAAAGTCTCCAGGAGAATATAAATAAGAGCTCATATAAAAGAAAATTTTCTCCAAGAAGAAGCCCGGCAGGAAGCACATGGCGTTAGGAGTCTATTTTTTTTTTCGAAAGATCCGTTGTCGGCTTTGATTAATAAGTGAAGGATGAAATTACAGTGTCTCAGCGCGAGAGGCGCTCATTTTGCCTGGCATACACCTTTACAGTGTTTGCCCTGCCACCCCTAAAAACCTTCTAAGAAACACTTACATATGGATATGATCATTAACGACTAGCTGAGCCGTTTGCGGCAGCACCAGCTCTAGACCTCTATTTCCAGCATGCAGCCAGTTCTTTGCTTCATCCTGTATCACTCTGAAAAGTTGCTCCGGCGTTCTTGACGATCTGTTGAAAGCTCGGTTATTCCTCTCCTTCCATAGTTCCCAGGTAGTCAGCATAATCATTGAACGCACACCATTTCTTGTAGCTTTTGGGCCCTTGTCTCCCATATCAGCATACCATTGGCTCATGTCTTCAGTTTGGGTCCAGTTCACCGGCCTCAGATGTGCTGCACTGATCCAGACACCCACCTTGTCCCAGATCATCATAGAGTAGCAGCATTCCTGGAAGAGATGTGATACCGTTTCTAGATTCCTTACACAAAGCTGACAGAAATAGTCATTAGGCCATTGCCTGATTAACAGTCGCGCCGCCGTCCAGATCCTATTCTGTAGCATCAACCATGTGAAGAATCGACATTTTGGTGGTGCCTTTGTCTTCCATGTAATGTCAGCTGTCCTGGATGGATTCGTTCCCATGAATTGTAGTCTATACGCCGAGCTTGCTGAATACTGGCCATCGCTGGTATGTAGCCAGGTTATCTGATCATGCTGTGTCGGCTGTAGAATAACCTCCTGCAGACGTTCCCATAGCGACACAAATTCTTGAATCACCTGATGAGACATGTTGTGGTCCACATCTCTGATCCACTTGTCTTCAGTCAACGCATCCTGAACTGTTCTATTCTTCCTTTTGCTGTGTTTGAACAGGACCGGGTATAAGGTTGCAGGTGCTTCTCCTTGCAGCCAGCGAGAGGTCTAGAAGGTAGCCTTGTTTTCGTTGCCTAAAGTCACAGTTGTTGCCGCGTTGAAGAGTGCTATATCAGTGCTGTCTATCGGTAGATCTAGACCTTTCCACGGCCTGGCTGTGTCATCCCATGAATACCATAGCCAACGAAGTCGCAGAGCGCGACTGAACTTATCAAGCTCGATGATGCCAAGGCCCCCATTTACCGTTGGTGTGCAGACCTTGGTCCATGCCACCTTACAATTTCCTCCTGTAAGCTCCTTGTCTCCTGCCCATAGAAATCGTCTACGCAGTTTGTCTAGTTCTTTTAGGAAATTTTTGGGTGCTTTTACTACCGTCAGCAAATAGACCGGGATTGAGCTGAGCACAGAGCGCACCAGTTCTCTTCGGCCAGCCACACTCAGTAATCGGCCCTGCCAGCCTGCTACTCTTCCCTTTGCTCTGTCTTGGATGTACTGCAGATGCACCATTTTAATTCTTCCAAGTGTGAGAGGTAGGCCTAAGTATTGTATTGGGAAATTTACTCTTGGCCCCGGGAAGTCATGCAATATATCTTCCATGTTTAGTCCAGAGCACCTAATCGGCGCTATGGTACTCTTTTGCATGTTGATCTTCAGTCCAGTGGCTGCACCAAACGCGTTCATGATCTCCATGATGCAGGCAATGTCCTGCTGTGTGGGGTTGGTGAAGATTACCGCATCGTTGGCATACATTGAAATTCGGAGGCTTGCATACCTCCCCTTGAGCTTTGATATGAATCCTTGCTGTGTTGCAATGTTGAAAATATTGTTAAGGACATCGATTGCTAGTATGAACAGGTAGGGTGAGAGAGGGTCGCCTTGTCTGAGTCCTCTCCGATGCCTGATAGCTTCTCCTAGACATCCATTCAGCAAAATAGCTGAGGAGGACGTTCTAAGTATTGCTGCCAGCCAGTCAAGCCATCTTGTAGGGAATCCTCATCTGCCCAGTAGCTCAATCAGGTATTCCCAAGATACCAACTCGAAAGCTTTAGTTATGTCAAGCTTGATAAGACAAGCTGGTGTTTTTGTCCTATGGTAGTGGCGTGCTAGCCCCCTGACATACAGAAAATTTTCCTGGATGCATCTTTTTTAATGAATGCGCTCTGGGAGTGTGAGATGAGTCTGTCAATATACACTGATAATCTTATGGCCAGCACCTTGGTCAGCAGCTTTGCAAAAGAGTGTATCAGGCTAATCGGTCTAAAGTCCTTTGGCTCTATTGCAGTTTCAGTCTTGGGAATCAGCACCACCTGAGCCGTATTTAAATGTTCCAGCGCACCATTGTGCTGTATGAAGAATGCATGGAAAGCGTTAAGGATATCTAGCTTGATGATATCCCAGCAGTTCTTGTAAAAATCATTAGTGAAACCATCTGGCCCCGGTGCCTTTTCACTGGGTAAGCATCTGACAGCTTGATCTAATTCATCTTTAGTAAAAGGTCTGTCTAGTTCCAGCCCTGTAGACTGTTGTATGGTGTTTATCTGGAGATGTTGCCATTGTAAGGTGTGTTGCCTCTTGACCTTTTTCCCAATCAAATTCTCAAAGTACTCCTGCAGGACTTGTTGTTTATCATTGTTTGACCAGACCAAGGAGCCGCCTTGGTTTTTCAGTGATGCAATATATTTTCTTCTTTTCCTAGCTGCCATCTTAAGGTGAAAAAATCTCGTGCAAGCATCCCCAGCTTTGATGAAATTGATTCTGGATGCCTGTCGCCTTCTGCTTCTCTCTAATGCTGCTAGGCCCAAGATTCTAACCTTGAGGTCACTTCTTAAGCTGATTTCCCCTACTGTGAGTTGCCTGACTTCTTGAGCGATATCCAGTCTAAATATGACCTCATTTGCAATGTGCAGCTGTAGCCTCGCATTGCTGAACAGCTTCTTGTTCCAGTTGCATAGCGCCGTAGCCGTTTCTACCATCTTCTTGTTTAGTACATTGTGCGCTGAGCCAAATTGTGGTTTATTCCATGCTGCTGTCACAACCTCCTTAAACCCATCAATCTTTAGCCAGTGGTTTTCAAATTTGAAAGCCGCCTTTCTGACTGTGCGTTCTTGACGGGTCAGGAACAGCGGGCAGTGATCTGAAGCACCCGTTGCCAGAGCATTGAGCGCGAAGTTTGGGAAGGCAGCCTCCCAGCCATGATTACAGAACATCCTGTCCAATCTTACCAAGGTTGGGCTCTCTCTTTCATTGGACCACGTGTATTTCCTGTTTTGCAGTGCAATCTCCATGAGCTCACATTCGTCTAATGCTCGTCTGAACTTTCCCATCATTCTTCTATTGAGGTTCAGGTTGTTTTTGTCGCTGGCCTGATAGATGAGGTTGAAATCTCCTACAATGATCCATGGAATAGTAGCTGGCGGCCTGATAGCCATCAATTCAGCAAGGAACTCATCTTTTCTGCCATCATCCGTAGGTCCATAACATGTAGTCATTAGGAAAGGTGTCTGAAGATATAACCTTGATAGTTGCTGAAATGGTGAAGTTTCTATTTACTGCATTAGTGACAGAGATCATGTCCTTGTTCCAGGCTAAAATAATTCCACCTCTAGTCCCCTGAGCCCCCAACTCAAGATAGGAGTCAAGACATTGGCCGAGGGTCTCGTGGGCCAGAGTAGTAGTGAGACAGCTCAGTTTGGTTTCCTGCAGGCACACAATGCTTGGCCGCGAGCAGGTCACCGTTTCTCTGACAAGTTCTCTATGAGCAGCGTCATTGAGGCCCCTTACATTCCATGTTAGCACAGTAAGGTCGTTTCTATCCATGGAACAACAAACTAACCACTGATATTAGGGCTTGAAAAAAGCCAACATCACACTAACCTGCCGACTATAGGTTGCTTCAGGCACACAGCAGCCATTACTGATAACCCAACTCATCTCCCTGCAACAGACTACTACTTCCTTCCAGCTAAGACAGCAGTACTGGACTATTCCCCTACCACACTGACTCGATACAAAGCAGTGCAACATGCCTGCTGACACAACCTCACTACACCCAAACACACACAAACTGCTAAGGATTAACATGGATAACTTGGTCCTACAACTGTCATAACCGAGCCAACTCAGTCCCCTCCATCCTCCATGGCCTCAGCTCCCTCATCAGCCATGATCTGTGCTGCCGCCGTCATCACTGTCCCACTGTCCAACGACGTTAGCTTCCTCACTAAAGCAATCTGCTCTGGGGAGAGCGGCGTGCCAAAGCTCTTGGCGAAGGCCTCCAGTGCCTCCTCCCCAATCGGCTCCCTTGGTCCAACCATCTCAAATGCCTTGATGAGGCGGTGTGTTGTGCGCTTGGAGACCGGCACAGAGCAGATCTTCGCCTGTTGTCTGGTGCTCCTCCTCAAGCCTCCTGTTGCAGTATGCCCCTTCTTCGCCCTGCCTGTAGCCTTGCTCTTAGGCTGTTGAGGTGCTGGCGTCTCTAGAATTGGCTGCTCACAGGGAACAAACATGCTGTCGACAATGGAACTCCTGCGCTCCTCCAGTATCAGTTCAGCGACCTGCTCGGTGATGCCAGCGGTGATCACCTGGCCATCAATCTCCTACTGCACCCCGGGGACAAAATGGATGACGTTTCCGAGACCCAGGGCAGCAGCCTCCTCGTTCAGCTCCTGCAGCTTGTCCCACCCCGTGGGAACGAACTCGGTCACCGGAGGACCCCCAGGAGGTGAGAAAGGCAGAGGCCTCTGCATTGCCTCAGCACACGCCGCCATCGCCTCGCCAATCATGGGGTCATAGTCATCATATGGTCGGGCGAGGGCTAGCCAGATGTCACCAGTACACGTCTCCTTGTAGAAGTCCATCATGGGGTCAGGGTGTCTGGGCGGTGGCGGTGGCGCCCCATGGGCGCTCGGAAGAGCCCCCGCAAGCAGAGTAGAGCCCAGGTCGCCACTCAGTGCTCCACCCGCAGTCTCATCACGTGCGCGCCTCGCCTTCGCCCTAGGGGAACACGATCTGCGCTGCTCCCAGTCAGAGTCCTCACGGCGCATTGGGTCACCGCCATGGGGCGAGGGGTGCTCGTCCCGCGAAAGCCGCCTACCGCGGCCCCCGTCTCCATCTTCCTTGTGTGCTTCGTCGTCGTGTGTGGCGCCACCACCCCAACGCCTGGACGCCGGGGGAGGGGGTCTTGGCCGCTGCTACCCCAGCGTTGTTCTTTGGATCTCACGGGTGGCGAAGAAGTTGAAAGCACGCTTGCTGGCGGTCTAGGAACCCCCACGGTGGGCACAGGTCGTCATGGTCATCGTCAGCATCGTCGTCGTGTCGCCGCATAGGTGCCCGCGGCGGCGGCCTGCACGCATCCTGCCTGGGTCGCGCCTAGAGCCCGTCCATCATGCCCGGGCTCCACTCCATGCTCAGGATCCGTGGGTACAGCTCCTCCTCGGAGGAGACAGGTGATGGAGCCCCGCTGATGCCAGATGATGGCGTGCGAGTCCGGGGCGGGCTCCAGTCTTCCACGATGTCGAGGTGGATGAGGAGATTGTGGACCTTGCCGCGCGGCGGCGGCGTCTCCCTGGGCTGCCGCGCCGCCCCTGCGTTCGGTGGGGTCCATCCCGCACCATGCTAGAAAATGGTCACCGTCTTGGTCCTTGGCAGTTGGTCAGGGAACCACATCCATGCCCAACAGTAGATGATGTCGGAGTCCTGCTGGCGGTAGGTGGCTCGGTCAATGGTGTCGACGAGGCAAGCTTCACCAAGCACTTCCTGGAGCGCCTCAATGTTCCAGGCGGGTCCAGGCAGATGCTCGATGGCCATGCGTACATGGGACCACCAGGTGGCGTCCCTACCGGTGGTCTCCTCGCGCCATGGGAGAATGTTGAAGTCGACTCCCATGACCCGGATGCCGCCGACCCGCAGCGCCAGCGTCCTGTGGTGCGAGTGCTTGAAAACGATCCTGAAATCCTCCGGGTGGTGGCGCGTCGTGCGCATCTCGCAGGGCGGCATGCGAACACAGCCCGCAAGGATCCTGGTGACGTCGCCGATGCAGGTGTCGATGTGCTGCGTCTTGTCGCGTGCCTCCAGCACCACGACCTTGGTACGCAGCCTGGTGGCCTCCTGGGTCATGGTGACCGAGGTGATCAGCACTGCGCTGCCCGCGGTTGGGCGGTTCTCCGGCATCCCCGGATACCAGGCCATCGTCGAGTCTTCGTCCGAGGTCGTAGCGGTGCTGCACTCCACTGGTCCAGTAGCCGGTGGTTCACCCTCCCGCCGTTGGAGGGCAGGGAAGACAATGCGGCTGTGCAGGTCCAGCTTCTGGAAGTGTAGGCGGGATTTGGCTGGTGGCTTTTGGAATTTGAGGCGAGAATGGATTGGTGGACGGTGAAGGCCTGTTTTCTTCTCCGGGCAGTGCTTGGCTAGGTGGCCATTGCGGCGGCACGCCAAGCACCTCAGGGGATCTCTACAGTCGCCTAACTTGTGGTCTTTGCCCAGGCATCTGAAGCAGCGACCGGCGAAGGAGGTTTTATAGGGAGGTTTTATAGCCCGCCGGTGGCGCTGGTTCGCCGAAGAGGCGCAGAGGGCGCCATATGGTGCGTGGCCTCTGATGATGGTGACGCGATGGAGCATTAACCCGAGCAGCTGTAGGGCGTGAGCGCACTGCATCGGAGTAACTTCGCGGCGCACCTCGAATCGGCCTATTCGGCGCCTCGGTCCGGCAGAGTTCAGAAGCAATATGCCTTTTGGGATGGGATTGCTCGATTACCTGGATCTTGGGGTGGTTGTGCGTCGCCGTGGTCGTCGCCCTCGCGGCGGAGGAGTTAATGGCCCCATCCTCTGCGCGCTCAGCAGAGCCATTGATGTCCGGACGGGCGCCCTCCGTGTGCAGCGACCGGCGGTCCGTCCCCCGCTCGCCATTGATGATGTCCGTCTCCGTCAGGTCCTGTCCCGCAGGTGGAGGTCGCGTGCCTGAGGGATCCGGAGGGGGGTCGTGACTCGCGCCGGATTTTAGACACGCCCCATCCCCTACCGGTTCCTTTGGCTCAGGCAGCGGCAGGTCTGGGTAGGGCGCAGAGCCGGCTTGCCGCATTGGTGATTCCAGCTTCTCCGGGGATTGCAGCACGACAGCATGAAGATTGCCCTTCCGGTCCGGGAGGGGAGCAGCGGCATCAGTATTAGCGCCCGCGCAAGCTGGCGCAGTAATGGTGTCTGCGACCTCAGCTGCATAGGCCGGCTCCTCCCCGCCTCCGACTTTCTCCGCGGATGATAGCTCGTCGTCTAGGCACGCTGGATCTGGATCTTGAAGCTTTCTCGCAGCAGAGAGGTGGCCAAACGCTCCGTCCTTGTCGTGGATTGATCCCCAATCCAGCAGCTCCGGGGCGCCCCCCTCGCCGAGCGGCAGCGGCCCCGATGCCGGCATGGAGGGGACCCTCACCGTTGGGGTCGTGGCGCCGGCGTCCGCCGGTGGGCACCCAGCTCCGCTCCGCTCTCCGCCTCACGCTTCCAACCCTTATTTCGTTTTCAATGACATTTTCACCGCGTTAGGAGTCTAGACTCTATGCCAGTTGTGGATAGAGCCGCCGAATCCCCTTGCCCCTACTGGAGTCCGCTCGAGGCGCACGCTGTGCTGGCCGCCTTCGCCTCCAACGAGGGAGCTCATCCCACCAGATCTATGCGCTCGCCGGGTTCGCCCTCTCGAGCCACGAGGAGCTCCATGTCGGTGAAGAAGAGGCCACAAAAATATATAGATTGAATCCAATAATTTGGTATTCACCCGTAGCAAAGTACGGGCAAATTTGCTTGTTATATATAAAGAGCCAAAATTTCTGTAGTCAATTTTTCGTCCAGCCCAATTACGAGTCCAGCTCAATCACGACTAGCCTTTCATCCTGTTGACACCAAAATTAGGACGTTCATTTTTCGACGTCAACACATCCGATCATCCACCCACGGCGACTTTTATCCGTCTCTTCTTTTCTTTTGAGAAATGCTATCCAATAACCGAGTGTTGGACACTCTGATATTTGCTCGCCCGTGCACCCTCTCTTTCCAGTCTTTATCTCTTCTTCTCCAAATCTGGTGGCCTTAAAAGGGGAAATCGGGGGAGGCAGGCCGGCCAGGCGGTGGAGACGGTGGGAGGGCGGCGTCCAGGTCCTAGCAGCGGAGGCGGTCGGGCCAGGTCGGGGCGGAGGGACCTATGGCCGGAGCTCGCCGCGGAAGGAGGAGGGGTGAGAGGAAGAAGGAGGTCGCGGCCGCGGCGGGGCGGTGGGCGGCGACGTGGTGAGGAGGAAGAAGAACAGCAAAAACAAATTGAGTGCTTCTCACCTGTAAAACGCTTAAGTGCTGGCTAGACACTTCCTTTCTTTTTTTGCCGTGCATGTTTGGGCTTTTCTTTTTGGGTTCGGTTGTTCGTTCGGAGTATCTCCCGCCCATTTCTTCCCGTGCCCGTCCGGTGATATTATCCCGGTATCCGTTCCGTAACTTTTTGTCTTCCATTTTTTCTCGTGTTTTGTTCCGTGACGTTTTCTTTTTCTAATTTTCCCTGTTTTTCGTTCGTTTCTTTTTTTTTCTCATAGGATCTCCTGTCCTTTTTCATGCCCGTTCCATGACTCTTTTTCCATTTTTTTTGGACGTGCTGGCGTCCAAACGTCCGACGAGATAGAATTCTATTGAACAGCTGTCTCCCCCGCGCGCCTGCATAGCCTGCTCCCCATTCACTAATTCGCCCTGCCCGTATGGCGCCCCGTACGACTTGCTCGCAATCCGCCCCGTCCGCCTTGATTCGACCCGCCCCCATCCATTGGCCCCGCCCCGCAGGCGCATCCTGCCTCGTCGTTCCCCCGACCGTCAGCCCCCAGCGCGTCGCGTGCCACGTTCGCCGACCACCGGCTCGCCGTGCCCCATTCCCCGGTGCCCGTGCCGTGCCACCATCACTCCCCCGTGCCCTTGACTCTCCGAACAGCATGAAACATATGCAACATGAAACACTTGAATGAAACATACGTCTGAAATAGAAGAAACATATAGAAAACACACTTGCAACATATGTGTGAAAACATATGCAATATCCAAATAGAATACTTGCAACTTGCAACATGAAACTCTTGTTGCAACAGAAGACTGGAACAAATAAAACATTTAGAACATATTGTTGCAACATATGTGTGAAACATATGCAACATTCAGATCAAAACGCTTGCAATAGATGTTTGGAACAGATGAAACGTTCTGAAACACTTGCAACATATATAACATGTGCAACATCCCTCGATGTACTTTTGCAATATCCATATGAAATAACTGCAACATACCTCTGAAATGTCCGAAACACTTGAAACATATATTTGCAATATAGGGGGAGCATCTATGCCAATCAATTCCATCCGTCGAGGTGGGAGCTAGCGGCGAATGGCGGCGCACGAGCACCACTAGCTTCCAGCACCAGCGGTGCGCGCGAGCACCACCGCCACCAGCACTGGGTTTGGGTTGGCTGGGTGGGCAGTGCGCGTGACTGGCGGAGCGTGCACCACCAGCACCAGCGCGCGACGGGAGGGAGTGGGTGGCGCGGGCGATGGGAGGGGGCGAGAGGCGCGCGCGATGGGGTGTGAGCAAGCGGTGGCGGATGGGGCGCACGGCAACAGCGAGGGGAGTGCGCGTCCGTGTCTAGGACGGGGTAGTTGGAAGGAGCTGCGACATGGAAGGAGGAAGCGGAAGGGATAAGGATGGGTGATTTTTTTAAAAATAAACTCACTAGTAGAGCGAGCGGCAAGGTAAAAGCGCAAGCAACGAGACAGTGGGCCTACGGGAGCGTCCACGCTTTGCTCGTATCGGCCATAAAACGCGTAGCATTACCATTTTCCTTTCTCAAGTATCTCCTAGTTTTTTAATAAACATAGAAAACAAGAAATAAATATAATATTATGAGTATTTGAATTGTTAGCTCTTGCCGTCTTGCGTAATAAATAAATATCCTACCACTAAGTTGTTGGTATAGTTTTAATTAGGAATAAATTTTATTTTTGTTAGAATTTAGATTAGCTAATGGTCTAACTAACCGTAAACTAAAATTTTGAGTAGTTTGTTATCCAATCTAATCTATATCCGTTCTATGTCTATATCGATACCTAATATTAAAAAGCAAAGGAATTCTTTCCAACTGATTTTTTACTTTCCACATCACCTCGTGCCTCTTTTGTCTTGTCCGTGATTAGGATTCACAACTCATGCCCATACGAATTAAAATGGCACCTGTCCAGCGACAATATAATCTTACTGTCCTGCATATGATATGACCCTTACTTTCATCAATATTTATACGAGTTAGAATAACGCACCCAACAATGGTAGAGTCGGACTCCAAAACACATCCAATAATGGTGGAGTCAGACTCCAACATTATTAACACTTTACCTGAAGTTCCAGAAAACTAGAAACCAAATATCATTTCCATGTATACCATTATTAACACTTTACCCCGGTTGATGAGTGCTTGAAATGGACCAGAAGAGGGCATAGGTCCAGTTGATGCTCCTTGCGGCTGCAGCGAGCTGGTTCCTCAACTGCCTCTCAGTAGGCTGCTGCAGTTCTTCCTGAACCTGGGAAGCTGATAGTGCCATCGCGCGCCTTACTATACCCCTTCACGCAGAAGCCAGATGTGTTACAATAAGCGACGACGAAGAAGCTAAGATCGAAACACCACACTACGCCAGATTCTTACAGCAGGAACGGGGGCATTTTTACTGTAGAGGCGGCTGGGGTTGGGGGCCCCCCTACAGTGGGCGTCCTCGGCCCCAGCAGCCCAGCCGCCCCTACAGATGTTACTGTAGGGGCAGCTGGTAACCTGAGCCGCCCTTACAGTTGGGGCTGATCTGTAGGGGCGGCTCAATCACCAGCCGCCCCTACAGCAGATGTCACTGTAGGGGCGGCTGGTAACCTGAGCCGCCCCTACAGTTAGGACTGATCTGTAGGTGCGGCTCAATCACCAGCCGCCCCTGCAGTTCTGACTGTAAGGGCGGCTAAATCACTAGCCGCCCCTACTGATGGCGCACGAATAAATAGTAGCCACCCTCTTGTTCCACCTCGGAACACACTCTTCTACACATAAAAAAAAGGTTGGGAGGCCTTGGGCTCCTCCTAAAAATTGCTCTACTAAGGGGAGAGGTTTTGATCTCAAATCCTTTGGTGGAGAGGCTCTAAAAGGTAAGGAAATACGTCTCCAACTCTTTATTTAAGTTTAATTCGTTGGTTAGTGAGTAATTTGATTTTAGGTTTTCTCTCTCTTCCATGGAGCTTGAGCTAGTTATGAGTGAAATTAGACCCTAATTTTCACTATACTAGGATAAATTAGGTAGGAAAGTAAGATTGCACCCTTTATTAGTACATCTTTGTTGATTTTAGTGTAGTATTAGTGAAGTTTGATGCATGTGTCATGAAACCCTATATCTAGATCTAGGATTTTGTTTTTTTTTTCTTTTTCAATTTTTTCTTTATGTACTAGGGTTTGCATGTAGGTGAATGTGTAAGATTTTAATTGTTGCTAATATGTAAAATATCCTCTACCATGGCTACTAATTATCATTTAATATTTATTTTGATTCATTTCTATAATGTGTGTTTTTAATTAGTTATGGACAAATAGGCCATTAATTAATTATCCTCTACCATGAAATTGGAATGGAGTTTGCATGAAAGGTAGTGGATGAAATATTAAATGCTGCTAATTGTTTTATTTGAAATTGTTTATTTGAACCAATTAATTTATATTTTAAAATATTTATGCATTAATAGTCAATTAATTAACTATCCTCTACTACCATGGTGCGTGTCTCAGGTATATACAATTATTCTCGAGTAATATTCTTTCTTTGGTTATTTTGTTTCTATAAGATGGACTACAGGAACTCTTGGATGTATGGTTCGTTAAGACACGACGCTCTTTTCCGTGATGAGGTGGACAAATTCATCAAAGCCGCAGAGAAGCATGCAGCGATGTTGAAAGAGAATAGCGACACGATTATTTGTCCCTACAAAGATTGCAAGAACCTTATTGCATTTCGAGATGTGAGTACCATTGAAGAACATCTTATTAGAAGAGGATTTGTTAGGACACAAAGGTGGATTCATCATGGTGAAACAGTTGGTTGTTGATGACGACAACGATGATCTAGTGATGATGAAGTGAAACCCAAGCATACTTGTCCCGATTCACGCAGACGATCTTGAGCAACAAATGGATCGTGACTATGGTAATCAACAAGGTGGTGGCTTTGGCAATCAACACGGTGGTGGCTTTGGCAATGAACAAGGTGGTGATGATTTGGTGGTGCCAAGCAATGATGGCTAAGCACGTGAGGGGATGCGGATGACGGTGACAACTTGGACGAAATGCTTGGGGCCTTTGGACCGTAAATATTAGAAAAG